AAAAAAAAAAAGTTTTGTCTCTCCTAGTCACAAACGCATTCTCTCTACCCACAACATTTGATTTTAGACAGCACACATCACCGTCACGGCTCTAATGAAGCTAATTATAGGGCTGGATCATTAGGTGGCATGCCCCTACCCCTATCCCCAATGCGCAGCCATGATCAGCTCACGTGGATCCATGATTGGTCGCAGACCAGGTCTCTAAATTCTTTAGTTTTAGAAAACCCCAAATCTTCAGGAATGGCTCAAATATCAAAATGTATGACTGTCCTTTGTGTGTATGTGTGTGTGTGTGTGTGTGTATGTGTGAACAATCTCACTTCATTTAAAAAACGAACAAACAAACAAACAAACAAACAAAACAAAACAAAACAAAAACACCTCCAGAAACACAAAACCCCAAACTCCCAAATTTGGTTCAATTCTCTTTTGTTCTGAGGTGAGCCATAACAGCTGCACTGAATTCATAAAACATGTGCAACTCTGGGTAAAATATGTTTCTAAAAGCACAACCACTTTACAAGATTAAAAGTCTAGTAACATTTCTAAATATTATTCATATCATACAAGTAGTGGTTGTTAATTTAAAACTTCATTAGTAAAATTACAGTACAAGCATGATTAACCTCCAGAATTGCAAATCCCAGACTCCAGTGGAAAGCTACATGACATCTTCAGTAGTACATTATCCTCCACCGTCATTCCCACACCAGAGGAGATGGGGGCATCTCAGACGGCTGAGCGACAGTGGAACTAGGAGAAAAAGGAGATGGTGACATTAGTGGGGCACCACAGAGAGTGTAAAGGGCAACTCACTCCTGCTTGTTTTCCTCTCTTCCTTTAAAAACCACTGGAAAGTTATGACCATTCCTGGATTTTCATTTTGTCTAGCAGCCCTAAAGTTGAATTTGTTCCAAATCATTAGTTATGAATTTGTATCTATAGTAAGCCATTATGGCACCATGCTGATACAAGTGCGCTTCAAAAGGTTCGTGGGAAAATCCCACTATCATTTAGTCCCACACACTTTTTGAAGGCCCTGGCATACACGGGCTGGAAAACCCCTCGCCATTTACCACTGCTGTGACACTGAGCAGCTACCTTAATCGTTCTAAGCTTACATGCCTTCATCTAAAAAGAGACAATGCTACCTCCCTCATAGGATTTTGCGCTGAATACATGAGATAATGCAAATAAAGTGGTTTGCACAGTATCTACTACCTAGTATAAAAAAGTAAATCATGTTGTTGCTAAGTACCATTGAGTCAGTTTAGATTTATATCGACCCTGTATTAAGGTTTCCAAGGAGCGGCTGGTGGTTTTGAACCGCTGACCTTAGGGTTAGCAGTAGTGCTTACTCTATAATATAATCACACTATTATAAATAATAACATCAAAATCCAATCAAGAAAATAATGTTAAGGAATGCAGAATTAGCCATTTAAATGTAGCCTCTCAAAATACAATGACTTTAATTGGGGACCTATTTTGAACAAGCCTTATAAGATTTTTTTATCATTCAATAGAATGAATAATCACTTAGCATTTACTATCCACAGATCTGTATTGTCAATTACTACCCACTCCTGTGTGCTTGTCTAATGTTGCTAACTAAGTTTTACATTTTGAGTGTGTGTGTATGCCTGTGTGCTTCTGCGTATCTGCTTTGCTTCCCAGGGCCCAGGGTAATGAGTGACTTGCACCTCAGAGGTGCTAAAGCTCCCAAATGACTACATAATGGCTCTGAGGGGAAACTAGAAAAATAAAAAGAAATTCTACACAAAAATCCTGGCTTTGGTTCAATAAATGTGATCAAGGGAAATTTAAAGTAAAGGGGAGGGTTTGTAAGCCCATCTTCAGCCTATAATTGACTGGAATACCTAGAAGGGGTTTTAGAATCTGCCCAGTGAAATAGGCTTCTGGTTAAGCCTTTGTAGAAGTGGCCTTAGGTGGAATTTTGAGCCCCCTCCAGAACCTTCTGAAGTGGGACATTCCCACTTGAAAGGACATACAGACTAACCCGGAGCCTGCTAGAAAAACAGAAGATACTTCTTAAAAGAAAGACTAGCAGGAAAAAAAAAAAGCAGACTGGCTATTATAAAAACAACCAAGCTGTCTGCCTGGGAGCCATCAAGGCAAGGTAAGTCAGCCCTTCAGGACAAACCCCCTTCCAAGAAGGAAACTCAAAGGGAGCACACGAACAGGCTTGTAAGCTTGCTGGTGTCTGCGTTGGTCTACTGCTGAGCAGAAGTAGGGGAAAGGCAGCAATGAAGACATGGGCTGAGTTCAACCATTTTCTATAGACTCCTATCAACCTTGAGATAATGAAGGGCTGGTTGGTCCTAAGTTTGGGGAGCCTTGGTAACTCCTGAGCCCATGGACACTGACCTAGCCACTGGGGGCTAGAGCAGAGAGTGAAGTGTCCAGCTGATATGAAGTGGGAGGAGGCATGCAAAAAGGCCCAAACTTGCAGATAGCACCCATTTGACCTAGCTTGGATGGCTTGATGATTACAACTCAAGTAGTGCAAGATAAAGAAGTCTGATACAGGAAGCAAGTGTAAACTGCTACAATTTGATGAACTTGACCTTTGCTTATGGATGTAGTTGCTCAAAATACCAACCAAGAGGGAAGGAGTCTTCACATCGAGGATCAAGCCTATTCCCTCAGTACACAGGGTTGATAGGGACAGGCAAAAGTTAGATACTGGCTAACTAAAATGTGGGAGCTAAAAAGGCATGAAGTGGCTGGCTTTCAATTTTTCAAGAGTGTGTTTAGTTTCAGTGTGAGGGGGGAGGGTAGAATCCCCACTGAATAGTTTTCACCTTGTCTAGACGGGTCAGGTGAAAGGGGATGAGGATAGGATTCTTTTGATTCAATAAGTGAGTAATCGTTATCATGACTAATTGCGATTGTCCCAACTGTAAAGGTAGAAGATGTGTAACAAAAAGGGTGGGGGGAGGTAGTTAATTTTACATTCTAGGAACAGAGGACCTTAGGACCATTAACAGGGAAGAGCCATGAGGGAACGAGAAAAGCAGCGACACCAGAAATGGAGGCAGATGTGATAGCATGGAGAGATACAGAAGGGGACGACTCGAGGGGAAAGAGAAAGGTTGTGTACTGGTGGGCAGGAGGCTTGTAAAATGTGCCCTTTGGTTGTTTAAATGAATATATATTTGTGTCAAAAAAAAAAAAAAGAAAAAGAGAGACAATAGAGGCAAATATTGTTAACTGATGGTGCATGGAGGAGACTGTAATCATTGCATTGAAACAAAATATGGCTGGTTGAGTGCAAAGCCAGTGTTGTTCTGTCATGTAAACTATCACTCAGTTCACAATAAAAGCTTTAAAAACAAAAACAAAGGGGAGGGAAGGGAAAGAGAAGCAGGGAGAAGTAGGAAACAGGAAAGGGAGAAAGGATGGCAGGTACCAAAGGAGGAAGAATGTAGCAGTTATCAATTTACTGCCTCACAGATCCCAATCACCTTTGTGATACTGAAGCCAGACCCTGTACACATTGCGATTTTGACACCTAGGTCGATGCTCATTTTTGTCAGTAGAGGGCGCTGGAAGGGCATTGCAAAGCCTAGCACTAGGAAAGAAACTTTGTGAGGCAGGCTGGTGCTTCCCCTCAACCCCAGTTTATTCTAGACAATTCCTGGGGAAATTTTTCTGCAATCTGAGGACCAGTTCCACACCTCTGGCAGATTTCTTCACCACCTTCAGGATGTGGGTTCCTGTGGCAGTCCTGCCCTCTCCAAAGAGGCCTGAATCGGCTTTGGTTGGGTGGAGAGACCTCTTCAAAGTCTTAACTAATTCCTTGTTCATTCTCCCTAGTCTAGAGCGAGTAGCTGCTTTCTGTATTTTTTACTTCAGGACCTCTTCAGAATCCTTTTAACCATTTTTTAGTAATTATCTTTTTCTAGTGTTATTAAATTTACCCTGTTCATATCACTGGTATAAATTCTTTGTGATAACTGGACCCTAATTGATACATGAGTTGAAGAAATGAGATCAAGAAAAGGAGAGACGAGAGATGACAAAGTAGGTCCACAGTTCTTTCCCCAATAAACCTGTTGGTTTCTCCTCTAAATAGGCTGCACCAGCTGCCCATCTGTAAGAAAAAAAGGTAATTTCTTGTGAACAGTTATTCTTCTAGGAGCAGGGATATAGTGGGCCCCACCAAGACCAGGTGTAGCTCCAGGGCAGGTGGCTGCTATACCCCTGCTGCAGAAGGTTCCTCAGGTACAGCCAGGCGGCACAATGGACATCTGGAGACAAATCTAAGTACCACAGTGCAATGGCATGTTCTCTCTCTTTGTACAGGGTAAACGGATGTTTGCAGCCAAAATGTATAACAGAGATTCTGGTGGACCTTTCATCTGTGCTAGCTCATCTAGAACCGAAATATGCAAACTAACACAATCACAATGGCATCCTTTTAATTCTAACAATGTTAGAACTCCATTTCTATAGTTACCTAATAAAGCTCTTAAAAGCAGCAGACTGAGGGTTGATGCAGAGAGGCACTCTGTTTCCTTTCTGTTGTTCCAAAATGAACTGGTGGATAATTTCTGTGGAGAAAACAAACATCATGTAATCCATGCCCATTTGCAGGCCTGGAAGCAGTGGATTCTCACTAACTCTAGCCAGCATAAAGAGCATTCCCTAGTGGTTTAGTGAAATCCAACACGCAAGTCACATATCAGGCAGAATCCAGTTGAACTTTCCTGACACTGAGAGGACAGTTGTTGTCAAACATTTGCAGAAACAAAAATAAAAACTCAAAGGTGTTAGCAGAGTAAAATGGTCTATAAATCTGAAAGTGATCCCATAGGATTGGCATTAAAAAATGTTTTGCCTTTTTAAAAATCACCAAAAAAAACCACACAAAAAAACAAACCACCTCAGTTGGTGTTTTAAGTACAAAGGTCTAGGAACGACCATCTCTTCTGTAATATCCTAGAGCTGATGCATTCAGAACTGGGACTATCAGCACCTGAGTCTCACCCAGTATGAGATTATGTCAGGATATTTTACAATGGAAAATTATTAGAAACTTTTAAACTTTTTTTTACCATTACCCAAGAAATGATTCCTTCTAGTGGACCTTTACTTCTTCAAACTTGGCATGCTATGTAAGAAAGAACGCCAATATATTGAATTTAGTAATATTATATTTAAATATAGTTTGATTTACACTCATTAAATAAGACTGTTTGAAAATAAGGACAAAATATGCATTCCTTTGCTTGACCTTGACCTGGATATAATATTAAATCAGCATTTTTATAACACTTATAGCGTTTTTGGCATGTGTGCCCTGGGCAAATATCTATATCCAAGATTATGAATTAAATTATATGAAACTTTGGTCAACATCTAGATTTCAGCCCTTCAGGGCCACAAAATGGGATATGTTGCTAGACACCCTACCCTGTCAAAGGCCAATGAAAGTACTCACCTTTAACCTGTCGAACAGAACTGAGGTTCTTCTCAAAAGTGTCATCAAATTTGGGATTGGTGACGGGCTCAAAGTCACTGGTATACACTCTTCCAGTAGAGGTGGAAAAGCAACATTTACACATACACGTGTGATAGCGTAGTCGCCCTTCATCTAGGTAGGGGTGGGCTAAGGCATCCTTAGCGGATATTCTTTTGGACTGAAATCAAATGTAGAGACCAGCACATCAACACTACAGATAAGCACAACTGTTCACACAGGATCTTTCACAAGACACAGTAACTGCTTTATAAAGCTTATATGTAATTTACAGCACACCCTATGTAGAGGAATAAATGCATTTAGAGGTTGAGTTCTGGTGTGGCATTGCATGGTAAGCACTGAACTGCTAACCACAAGGCACCAGTTGCTCCTTAGAAACCCTATACTGGGTTGCTATGAATTGGAACCGACTTGATGACACTTAACGACAACAAACCAATAGGGTTCGTCTAACTTAGAGCAGCAAACTTGAGTTCCATCTACCACCACACTAAGCGCTTTTCCATTAGCATTCTGAAAAGTTTCTACCTTGAAACAGATGTAGACATAGTAAAAATGACAAACTGTATGATATTTAAAAATGCAATGCTTTGAAAGGGGAAAGTTTACATATTAAATAACAGTCTGTGCTTTCTAAATATGTCCTATCATTACAAGAGATTATTGCGTCAAATGAAAAAAGCTACTTGAAACTTTCATTCTTTTATAATAGCAAACAGACTCAGGCAAAAGCAGATGTAGAAGCTGCTAAAGTGAGTTAGGGAGCAGATGTGGTCTGCCTGCTAGTTACGATGCCTGGCTCAGTCCGAAAATCACAGTCCGGAGGCTTCCTAGTACTTTGAATCAGAATACTTAATATGCTAGTTTCAGATTTACATAAACCACAAATACATTTTGATTTCGTTATTTGAAACAAAGTCCCCCCAACCATTGCTCCCTCTCTTTTATCACATCCACCAGTAGACAGATGCTGAGTGCCTGAGAATACACCAATATACAATCATCAACTAAATATAAATATGACAACACAATGTCTTGGAGAAAACAGACAACTTTGGTTTCCACAAAGAAACTAAACAAACAAGTCACCAAAGTACAGTCAGAAAAAGTAACAGAAGTAGTATTGGAACTACCGGATAAGAAATTTAAAAGAATGCTAATTAGGCACCTTCAATGGATTGAGAGAAAGATTGAGAAAACTACAGATGAAATCAAGAAAAAAGTTGGGAAATGAACTGACAAAATAACTGAAAATATTGGAACCATAAAAATTAGCTATTAGAAAGTCAAAAGATTAACACTAAGACTTCAGAAATAGATAATACACCGAAAGGGCAAAGAAATAGAACTGAATCAATGTAAAGCCAAATTACTGAGCTTGAAGAAAAACCTCTTAATAGTCATATGCTACAGGTACAATCATGAAAAAGAAGAAAAATACCAAGAAAGTCTAAGATTTATGTGGGACACTATCAAGAGGAATAACTTATGCGTGATAAGAAATTACAGAACAGGAGGAATCTGAATACCCATAGAGAATACGGTCCAAGAGTTGTTGGAAGAAAACGTTCCAAACATCAAAAAAGATGAAAAGATGGCCTTTCAAGAAGTTGAACGAACTCCCAATAGAAATACTCCAAGACATATTATAACCACACTTTCCAAAATCAAAGACAAGGAAAGTACCCTGAGAGCAGCTCAAGAAAAACAGAAGGTTACTTACAAAGGAGAATGAATAAAACTAAGCTCTGATTTCTTAGTAGAAACCATGCAGGCAAGAAGACGATGGAAGGACATAAAAATTGCCAACCAAGAATCAACATGTACAGCAAAACTGTCCATCAAATATGACAGTGAAAATGACCTAAAGGGAGTTCTCTGAACAAGAGAATCAACAAAAGGAGACAATAACCTGAGAGCCCAGATATACAAGTTGTTGTTGTTGTTATGTGCCGTGGAGTCAGTTCTGACTCATAGCGACCCTGTACAGGGTTTCCAAGGCTGTAAATCTTTACGGGAGCAGAAAGCCTCATCTTTCTCCCGTGGAACACAGCTGGTAGTTTCAAACTGCTGACCTTGCGGTTCGCAGCCCAATTTGTAACCACCACGCTACCAGAGCTCCTTCAGATATACAAGTATTCAAAGTAAAACAGACTTCTATGACTGAAAAGAGAGAACCACAGATACAGCTGCAACAATAACAAACCATAAAGTAGAAGGAGGAAATAAACCAGTCACAGAACTTTCAAATTAAAAGGAAATCACATCGATTTCAAACAAAGATAAATAAAAATATACCTAATTGTAATTCTAAAAACTAGACCAAGCCTTACTTTTAGCCCTAGCTCAACCCTCACCGTAACAGTAACCCTAGTTCTAATCATAACCCCAACAACAAATGAAGTCCTAGGCCTAGCCAAGACCTAGCTATAGTCCAAATCCTAACCCTCACTCCTTACTCCTACCCACCCATCACTGAAAAAAGTCCCCCCTGTCAGCTCAGTGGACATAAATATACTGAGAGAAACTAGGCTTTAAATAATTTAAAGATGGCGTCTGTAGTACGCAGTAGAACAAAACTCCAGACACTTTGCCATACTTCCAATATCACCAATCACATCACTTAACAACACCAACCAAAATAAATGAAAAAGAACTGGGTCATCTTGATTGGTTTGAATCCCTCAGATAATAAGTGCTAAATATTTCCCATAAGCCAGATTCCCTCTCTGAATTTTGTTACGCTGAAGTTAAGGCATGTAGTGAGCTGTAAAGATGGGATCACCACAGAAGAAAGCGCTATTATTCACCAAGAAGAGATGAACATAAACATCACAACCTCTCAATACCGGTGTGGTTTGTGTCCAGTGACTCCCTTTCACTACTGGCCAGTAAACTTTTTCTTTCCTTTTCTAAATGCACCCGAGTCTTCCTTTGACTGCAATTTCTGGAGGTTCCCCTGGATCAGGTTCTACTGTTGTGGTGAAGCACAGTTGAGTCAGTTCCAGTGCATAGTGACTGCTGCATGGAGTTTCCCAGGAACAGCTGATTGGTTTGAATTGCCGACCATATGGTTTAGCAGGCCAGTGCTTATCCTACAGTGCCACACCAGGACACCAGGTTCAAAACACCGGAGGAGTATGCTCACAGTGCTCTCTGCCAGCCTCGGACCCCTCTAGTCCTCAGCTCCCCTACCGTCTGTTCCTTTGGTTGGTCTCCTGTCCAGCGGCTGAGCTCTTTGGTTTTACACAGGAAATCTGATTCTCGGCCAAGTCGATTTCTGTTTCCAATTGAGCATGGCCGATTGTGTCCACACTGGTGGCAGTAACAATGGAATCTGAGTTTCAAGTTTACCATCTTACCATTTTAGCCATTTCTGTGAAGTGGCAGATGTCAGAAACTGGGTCCCTTTCAGCTGCCACCTGCAGCTAGAAATGGGGTCACCTGTTAGCTATTTTTGTTTGTTTGTCTGAAGATCTAATATTAAAGATCTCAAATCCTGAAATTTGAGAATGAAGAGTTGAAAAGATTTTGGTATTTTCCTACCCACTGATATAGTGTGGTTTTTGTATGTTGTGTGTGTATCATTATGGATCGGACTAAAGTGTTTTACTTAACCTTTAACTGTGAGTAAAAAAAAAAAAATCAATCTTGGTATTCATCATTGGTGGTGGTGTGCTGTGGAGGAGGTTCCGACTCATAGCGACCCTGTAGAGGGTCTCCGAGGCTGTAAATCTTTGTAAGAGCCGAATGCCTGTCTTTCTCCTGCAGAGTGACTGGTAGATTTGAGCTACTCATGTTGCGGTTAGCAGTCCAGCTCATAATCCACTACACTACAGGGCCCTTTGGGTAGAGGGCAGACCCATGTTAACTTGGGTAACAGGGCAGGCAATATATAACAAGAGGGAGGTTGGCATAGGAAAGATGAAGGTAGTGGGAGACACAGGGCAGAATGTACGAGTTAAAAGTGACTAGAGGTAAATACTGTTATAACTAATGATGGGATATGGAAGGGATTACAATCACTGTAACAACACTAAGTGTATGATTTGTTCTGTAACCCTTCACTCAATTCACACACACACACAAATCTCGGTTACCAGGTTACAAACAAAGTAAGAAGCAAAACACAGGGGTAACTCGTGTTCTAGTTCATACATGCATGGGTTTATTCCAAGCAAAATGGGTTTAATCATGCCTCTGTAATCTGTTCTCTCAGTAACATACTTGTTTTAGTCTCATTAGGGTTCCCACCAGGCACTCTGCACAGGTGGCTATGAGTTGGAACCTACTCAACAGCACTTAACAACAACATGGATATTTATGTGGAGGTGCTGGTGTGGCACTGTAGGATAAACACTGGACTGCTAACCACAAGATGAGCAGTTCAAACCCATCAGCTGCTCTTTGGAAACCCTATAGAGTCACTATGAGACACCTGACAGCACTTAATAACAATATTAATATGCATTGATAAACATCCTTTGGCTACTTAGACATAATTTTAATATACATAGGCACTTCATTAGCTATCAGAAAACAGCCAGAAAAACGTGTGTGAGTATAATGTGAAGTGCTGTTATAAAAAGCAATGTTAAAGAATGTCCAGTGGTAGGAAAATGTATATAAAAGACAATGAATATGTTTTTCTTTGTGAGTGGAAAAAAGTGACAAGTCTTGTCTAAATGTAAAACTTTTCTGATTGTGTGAGAATATGAACATAATGAAAAACGAAACAAACCAACTCACTGCCCCTGACTTGATTCTGATTCAGAGCAGCCTATAGGGTAGAGTCCAACTGCCCCCAGTTTCCAAGGCTGTAAATCTTTACTGACTCAAACTGCCACAGCTTTCTCCTGCGGAGTGGCTAATGGATTTGAACTGAAGACCTTTTGACCATTTAACCATGGTACCACCAGGGTTTCCTCAAAGAAGCATTAAAATGTGTTAAATATTTTTCAAAGTTGGCTCATTGTTGATAGGTTAGTTTAGCAAGAAAAAAAGGCTTATAATCTTTACTGCAAATTGTTACATGGGTGTTACACAACAGAATAAAACTAGAATTTGTTTCCTTTCTGCAAAAATGTCAAGATAGTTTATGCTCAGATTATGTTGTTGTTGTCAAGCGCTGTCTAGTTGGTTCCAGCTCATAGTGGC